ATATATATATATATATATAGATATAGATATCTTAATACAGCGGTGTTTTTCAGGTTACAAGAGAAGATGTTACTAAAGTGGTGCCACGGCCTGTTCTTTCATATATACCACTGGAATTTCGCAATAAACTTTTTTCTGTATTACCTTACAGGAAATAAATTCAGAAGTGTTGTTGCGCAAACGTTGAAAAATTATACGGATACATATCTGCCATGCCACAAAAAAGTCTTGAGGTGCAATACATGGAGTAATTGTCACAAACATTTACGATCTTGCATCACATTGCTAACGAGAACTGTTGCACGAAGCAAACAATTCAATAATATGCCAAATAATTCAATAATATTCAATAATATAAGTAATTCCAATGAAAGAGACAGCAATGTTACCTAATTTTGTAAAAACAAAGTACATTAGGAAGAAAACTCTTTCCGATATCGGAACGTTGCATTATATGTAACTCATATATAATATACGCGTCTTAAAAGATAAACCCGGCAGAAAAGATATGTACACATACAACTCAAACGTGATAAATAATCGTCTCTTTCTCGATTATTTTATATACATACTCATCGTATCTTTTTAATTGATTCCGGAAGTCAGTTCTCGGGGAGCAGAAATTATATTCGGGAAAATTTATTTTTTTTGCAGTTTATTTTGTTTACACATGAAATGTTTACACATTAAACATTGCAAAATATCACATTGCGTATTAGGCGTCTTCTGCATAACAGCGTAATTCTTATAATTAAATAGCGATTTAATTGCATGTAAAAATGATTTGTTATTACATTTTAACTACAACTTCCAATTTTTTCGCTATCATCACTCGCCTTTTCTAGTCTTATAAACTAACGTCGTGGTCCCCCATGCAGATCTTTGATGCAATCTGGGATATCGTGATAATACTGTACTAACAAAAATTTCGAGCAAATGGTACAAGAATAAGATAAACTACTAATAATAAGATGTAGTAAGATGTACTATTAGAACTTGTACCATTATTTTCAAATCGATACGAAATAACTTACAGCAATATACAAAGTTCACTGCTGATTTTGTTTTTCTTAAAATTTAGCTAGTGACTTGACATGCGTTTCATAAAATATTCGAATTTAATGCATATGCTAAATTAATTGTATCAAACATAATTACACAACTTGCGTGAACA